ATAGGATTAAAAGATTTTTTTAAATACTGGTAAATCAAATCGAGCAATATATTTTAAAAATTATTCACCACAATCAAGTGGGATTAATTCCAGGGGTGCAAAGCTGGTACAATATTCACAAATCAATAAATGTGATACACCACATAAACAAAATGAAAGATAAAAACCATATGATCATATCAATAGATGCTGAAAAAGAATCTGACAAAATCTAGCACCCACTTCTGATAAAAACGTTCATCAATGTGGAAACAGAGAGCTAGCTCAACATAATAAAGACCATATATGAAAAATCTACAGCCAACATCATACTCAATGGGCAAAAACTAAAAGCATTTCCCTTAAGAACAGGAACAAGATAGGAATGTCCACTTTCACCATTCTTATTCAACATAGTACTGGAAGTCTTAGCTACAGCTATCAGACAAGAAGAAAAAATAAAAGGCATCTAAACTGGAAGGAAGGAAGTGAACCTGTTATTATTCACAGAAGACATAAAACTATATATAGAAAATCCTAAAGACTACATCAAAAAACTACTAGATTTAATAAATGAATTCAGCAAAGTAGCAGGGTACAAAATTAACATCCAGAAATCAATGGCATTCTTATACACCAATAATGGACACTCAGAAAGGGAAACTAAAAAAACAATCCCATTTACCATTGCATCAAAAAAATTAAAATACCTGGGAATAAACTTAACCAAAGAAGGAAAGGACCTGTTTGCAGAAAACTAACAGGGACATTGAAAAAACAAATAGAGGAAGATATAAAAAAGCAGAATCATATACCATATTCATTGATTGGAAAAATCAACATCATTAAAATGTCCATACTACCCAAAACAATCTATAGATTCAATGCAATCCCTATTAAAGTACCAATGGCATATTTCATAGATCTAGAACAAATACTCCAAAAGTATATATGGAACCAAAAAAGACCCTGAATAGCCACAGCAATCTTGAAAAAGAAAAACAATGTTGGAGGGATCACAATACCAGTTATCAAGTTATATTACAAAGCCACTGAAATCAAAACAGCCTGGTACTGGCACAAGAACAGGAATACAGATCAAAGGAACAGAACAGAGAACCCAGAAATCGACCCAAGACATTATGCACAATTAATATTCAACAAAGGAGACAAGAACATACAATGGAGAAAAGACAGTCTCTTCAATAAATGGTGTTGGGAAAATTGGACAGGTACATGCAAAAAAATGAAACTAGACCACCAACTTACACCATACACAATAATAAACTCAAAATGGATAAAAGACCTCAATGTAAGTTGTGAAACCATAAAAATCCTAAAAGAAAAGAAAACGTAGGCAGCAAAATCTCAGACATCACATGTAGCAGAATTCTCACCAATATATTGTCCAGGGCAAGAGAAACAAAGGAAAAAAATTAATAAATGGGACTACATCAAACTAAAAAACTTCTGCATGGCAAAAGAAACCAGTATCAAAATGAAAAGGGAACCCACTCTTTGGGAGAACATATTTGCCAATGATTCATCAAATAAGGGGTTAATATCCAAAATATATAAAGTACTCATACAGCTCAACAAAAGGAAGACAAAATGGGCAGACAACCTGAATAGACACCTCTCCTAACAGGACATACAAATGGCCAAGAGACATATGAAAAAATGCTCAGTGTCACTAATCATCAGAGAGATGCAAATAAAAATGACTATGAAGTATCACTTACCACCTGCCAGAATGGCTACCATCAACAAATCATCAAACAACAAGTGCTGGCAAGGATGTGGAGAAAAGGGTACCCTAGCACACTGCATATGGGAATGCAGACTGGTGCAGCCACTATGGAAAAACAATATGGTGTTTCCTCAAAACATTAAAAATGAACCTGCCATTTGACCTAGTGATCCCACTTCTCAGAAAATATCCTAAGAAGCCTGAAACACCAATCAGAATGAACATAGGCACCCCTATGTTCACAGCAGCACTATTTACAATAGCTAAGATCTGGAAACAGCCCAAGTGCCCATCACTGGATGAGTGGATAAAAAACGGTGGTACGTATGCACAATGGAATACTACGCAGCTGTAAGAAAGAGAGATCTCTTACCCTTTGAGACAACATGGAGGGACCTGGAGAGTATTATGCTAAGGGAAATAAGCCAGTCAGAGAAAGACAAGTACCACATGATCTCACTTATTTATAGAATATAATGAACAAAATAAGCGAACAATCAAAAGAGATTCAGAGACATGAAAGTAGGAAACAGACTGACAACCTCAGAGGGAAGGGGGAGGGGGTTGGGGGGAGGGCAGGAAGAGATAAACCAAAGAATTTATATGTATATATACATAACCAATGGGCATAGACAATAATGTGAGGAAGGCAGGAGGGGGGAGGGAACAAGGAGGAGGGGGTCAATTGGGAAGGGGGAAGGAGGGACATTTATAATACCTTCAATAATGAAGACAAAATATAAATAAAATCTATCTTGGAAAAAAATTTTTTAATTTTCTTTATGTTTAGCCATATTTTCCAAATCTTCTACAAAAAGACTTTCTTTTGTAATCAAATAAAAACCCAATTCAGCCTGGCCGGTGTAACTCAGAGGTTGAGTGACGATCCATGCATCAAGAGGTCGCAGGTTCGATTTCCAGTAAGGACACATGCCCGGGTTGTGGGCCTGATCCCTAGTGGGGGCCATGCAGGAGGTGGCCAGTCGATGTTCTCTCTCACCGATGTTTCTCTCTCTCTTCCTCTCCCTTTCTCTCTCTCTAAAAAAATCAATAAAGAAGAAAAAATTTTTTAACCCAATTCATTTTCTTAATTTAAGAAATAATCTGACCCTGGCCAGTTTGGTTCAATGGACAAAGCGTTAACCCGTGGACCAGAGTCCTGGGTTCGAATTCGCTAAGGGCAGTACCTTGTTTGCAGTTCATCCCCAGCCCCAGCTGGGGTCATGCAGGTGGCAACCAGTCAGTGTGTGTCTCTCACATGGATGTTTCTCTCTCTCTCTTCCTCCCTCTCTCCCTCCGGCTCTATCTGAAGATAAATGCAATAATGTCCTCAGGGGAAGATTTTTAAAAAAAGAAAGAAAGAATCTGTAATTTAGCAAATAGAACAGCTATTCCCAAGCTTTTTGGCATCTTGACTAACATTTTTATCATGAAATTCTCTGTAATCCTCGCTTTCCTTTCAGTGTTTTTTCCAAGTTCAATTTAAATTAATTTTGAAAATTTCAAAAGATTTCCAATTCAGATTTTTGCAAAAGTAGACATGAGAAGTATTAAAATTCATTTTCATTTCATGACCAAGTTTCATAAAACAAGTACAAAATAAGGTTCTGTCAAACAACTAAAACATAATGAAAGGAAAACTCTATAATTAGAATATCTAGGTTCAAATCTATCTCTTACTAGGGTGTGAAACTTTAAAAACCCATTAAAATAACTAAGCCTGAATTTCCATGTCTATAAAAGATAATACCTACCTATTCCACAGGGCTCTTGTGTAGACCAAATGTGAATGCTTGTGAGTATACTTTGTAAACTGTCAAGTGTCACATGCAAATGTTATTACAGTTGAGGTTCTTGATTATCCAAGGAAAGACTTCTTTAAAAAATGATAAATTGCCCTGGCCGGTTTGGCTCAGCGGTTAGTGTCCAGCCTGGGGTCCAGAGAGACCTGGGTTCAGTTCCCACTAGGGGCACTTACCTGGGTTGCAGTTTGTCCCCAGCCACGGTTGGGGTCCTGCGGGAGGCAGGCTGTGGATGTGTCTCTCTCACATCCATGTTTCTCTCTCTCTCTTCCTCCCTCTCTCCCTCCAGCTCTATCTGAGGATGAATGCAAAAATGTCCTCGGGTGAGGATGAAAAAAAAAAGTTAAAAAAATGATAAATCGAGTTCTATCAACTCATGACATAGACAATATCAAACTTTTTATCACTCACTATTATACGCCATGAGAGTGCTCCATGATTTTCATCTAAAACCAAAATCGCAGTTCATAAGGTTGAAAGGTGTTTATCACTTCCCCCACATAAATATACCCAAAACACAAATGTATCTTCACTGATAACCAAAACATCAAGAAACAGGATAACTTAGGAATCTCCTCTATACATTTACTAAACTATTTGACAGACTCTAAAGAGATAAAACTGCTCAAAACCTACCGCTTTCGGTATCCGGATAAGCAAATGCATTTCCACACCCAGATGTTTATACCTCTGTATTCCGTTCACAAGGCTCAGCTTGTTCCAAAACAAACATCCAAAACACACACAGCAAACCCTGCGCCTTGGTGTCAGGGATCACACACAGAATAAACTACACCAAATCAAAGGAGTTCTAAAGAGCCTCCCTCCTTCGCATAACCTCGCTGGAACTTCCTTCTCGCTTAGTAAACATATTCTATTGGGACGAGCAAGCCGAGGGCAAGGTTTTTAAATAGGGGTCAGTTGAGTTCACTCCACTCTCCCGTCACCTGGCCGTGTATTTTTCGGGAAGTTTCGGAGTCAACAAAGAAGTTTTGTTGCGAGGGGGTAGGGCCTGTATAGTGATGGACAAAACGACAGAAAGAAAGACAAAACCGAGTGAGGGAAGGGTGTGGAAAACGCCCCCAAACTTGGAGCAGTCACGACGGCCTCGTCCCGCGCCCCGGCCTGGCGGATGCAGGGGGCGGGGGAGCCGGGCCAGCCGCGGACCCTGCAGCCCAGACGCCCCCAGCCGCGCAGGATCCCGGCCTCTGCGCGCGGGCGGGAAACAGCGGGGGGCGCCGCGGGGTCACCTTCCCCTGCCCGCCGCCGCCCACCGCCCCTCGCGCGACTGCTCCGCGGGCAAACGGCTCGGGCGCTGGCCCCGCCGCTGTCACCGCGCGCCCCCGCCCCGAGGGGAGGGCCCCGCCGCGCCGCCCGAGCCCCGCCGCACGCCTCGAGCGCCGCGGACAGGGTGCGGGCCGGCCAGGAACCCGGGCGCCGGTGCAAGGGCGCGGACGCCGCCGACTTACCTTCCTCCGCGGTGTCCATCTTGTCTGGCGGGGCGGTGATGACGCAGCCGCGAGGCTCCCGCGGCGGAGGCCGGAGCCTTCCGTCTGGGGCGGGGAGGGGGGGAGGGGAGGAGGGAGCGGAGCCGGCCCGGGCAGGTGCGTGTGCTCAGGTGCCAGCGATGAAGCGAGAGGAAGGAGTGAAGGGGAGAGGGAGTGGGAGAGAGGCTGACAGAAAGCGGGCGAGAGCGGGGAGGGGGAGGGGGATGGGAGCCCGAGGGGCGAGGCCTGGGCGGGGCGCGGGCCGGAAGGGGCGGAACACCCCAACGACTGGGGCTGTCACTTCCGGCGGCGGTCTTGGGGCGACGAAGTCTTGTTGTGGACCGGGACAGCGACCCGGCGAGGAAGCGGGCCCTTGGGCCTAGTCCCGAGGGCTGCGCGGGGCAGCGGGCTGTAACCTAAGCAGGAGCTGAACTCGGGGGCCCGGGGAGGCGGCAGAGAAAGCGAGGCGGGGAGCCCAGCGCCGCCGCGGTGCACCACTCACCTGTCCCTGGGGTGCGTAAGAATTCCCGGCGCGCTGTGAAAACGGGCCCTGCGCCCTGGGGCCACCCTGACCACCCTCCCCCTCGGAGATCCAGGTGCAGGGTCTGGAGCGCCCCGGAAGATGCTTTTTTGTTTGACACCTGGATGGTTCTGATGCTGGTTTTTGCGGAATCACTAAAATAATTTTCAACCTATGTCATCTCATAGCACCCATAAACTACTAAAATTGTGTGGCACACCAAAAGATATATCTTTTGCCAATCTGACAGAAAAATAGGTATAATTTTTATTCGTTCACACCAGACAGCTGTTGTGTTGTCTGTTGTCATGTTTTTATTTGACAATCTAAGGGAAAAGAGGTCAATACCCCCGACTAAATAGGAAGGTATTGCATGTTTTAAGAATTATTTGGCCTCGGCCACGTAGCTTGGTTGGTTAGAGCGTTGTCCTGTACGCCAAGGTGGCGGATTTGATCAGGTCGGAGGACACACAAGAATCAACCAATGATGCATAAATAAGTGGAATTAGAAATTGATGTCTCTCCTCTCTCTCTCTCTCTCACTCTCTCTCTCCCCCTCTACCCCCCCCCCCAAATTCAGTAAATAAAACTTTTATTTAAATTCTGCGGCGCACCGGATTTCACTACACTAAAATATCTCGGACATGCCAAGAGGAAGTGCTAAAATATCTCTGAAAGTAAGACAAGCACTAACTGTACCAAGAGTCCACCCAGGGAGACTTCTACTTCGGGTTAGAAGGATACGGCAATGAACTGCTCAGGCTGGGGGTTGAAACGTGAACCTAAGAGAAATCGGTTCGGATGCAGACAGGAGTTATGAACACTTACCTGGCCAGAGCTAAACTGCTTCCGCCTGATTAAAGGTTGAGCTCTGCTTCCATCAGTACACAGTATTTTTTCAAATACTATACTATACTATACTTGAAAAAAACACAATAGAGTGAAGCCGCCAACGTCAAAGCGGGAAGTGGCGAAGGAGGACGGTGTATAAAGAAAGAACCCTACTTCGCGGAAATTCATTTATCGCGGTAGAGTCTAGTTGACCGCGATGAAGGAGGGCTGACTGTACAGATTAGAAAGGCCATCACCTTAGAATTGCCTGGGTAGAAGCAAAGATGTCTTTAACCCCAACAAAAAATATTTAAAAAACAAAACAAAACATTGCCCTGGCCGGTTGCTCAGTGGTCAGAGTGTCCAGCCTGCAGACTGAAGAGTCTCAGGTTCGATTCGGGTCAAGTGCACATACCTCGGTTGCGGTTCGGTCCGACCCTGGTCAGGGTTGTGCGGGAGGCAACCAATCAATGTGTCTCACATCGTATTTCTCTCTCTCTCTCTCTCTCTCTCTCTCTCTCTCTCCCCCCCTCCCAAAATATCCTCTGGTGAGGATTTAAAAAAACATCAATGGGCTGCCTCCTGCACGCCCCCTACTGGGCTGGGGATGGAATTGGCAACCCAGGCGTGTGCCCTGACTGGGAATCCAAGGGGGACCTCTCAGTCCATGGGATGATGTTCAATCCACTGAGCCACACCGGCCAGGCAACAAAAAATGTTTTAAACAATATTCAGATAGATACAAGAATGCTAGCTAACTTATTTTCATCTGTGTGCGTGAAGGAATTGGGAAGACCCCTCTCCCAAGCCTCATCAATCAGAACAAGACTTAGAAGAAAAATAATGAAGTGGAGTCCTCCCAAATGAGAGCAGTCCTTGAAGCCTAATGTCACTGATTTGACTAATATTAGCCAAGGCAGGTAAGCAAATTCTTGCCACAGTAATGGAGACCCACTTTTTTCAATGGCTGACCTTGAACATTTTTTTTTTAATCCTCACCCGAGGATATTTTTCTATTTATTTTCAGACAGAGTGGGAGGAAGGGAGGGAAAGAGAGAGAAACATGGATGTGAGAGAAACACCTCCACTGGTTGCCTCCCGCACGACCCCCGCCAGGATGAACTGCAACCAAGGTATGTGCCCTTGGCCGGAATGGAACCCGTGAGTCATTGGTCCAAGGACAGACACTCTGCCACTGAACCAAACCAGCCAGGGCTGACCTTGAGCATATTTAAGCCATTTATGTTGAATTTGAAAGAGGCTCAGTCTCCAACCCCCATCCCTCAAACCCAACCCCAACTTGAGTTAACCCCCACCCGTGAGTTTACAGAACACATCTCACTCACCTCAGGCTAGGGGCACAGTTCAGGACCACCAGAGCACAAGAGGAAAGGATTCTGAGAGAGAGATGGACTTTGAGATTTACTAAAGGAAGTACTAGTATTTCAAGGCAGGTATGTGAATCTCCAGGCAGCAGAACCCAGTTAGGAGGCCCTGCTATGTGGCAAGAACTGGTCCTCACAACATCCCTTTGAGATACATAAGTCAGTCACACCTCTCTTGGTTGCCATTGAAAGGAACCAAACTAAACTGGAAGGCAAAAGGGAGGAATGTACTGTTGCTATGAATAAACTGTGACAAAAGTAGTGGTTCACTGGACCCCAGGGACTGCTCTCTGTCAGAGTCCCCTCTCTGCCCCGTCCCAAAGCTGTGCTTCTCTCTCTACACTAGCTTCATGCCATCAGACCAGCTTCTTCCCTGTGGCTGAAGAAAAGGCCACTCATATCTCTCAAAGTCATATCTTCAGCCTCACTCTCACATAGGCTGAGAATGACAATCTCTTGTCCCAAGTGAAAAATTCCCAGGGGCCCTGGCCAGTGTGGCTCATTTGGTTGGAGCATGTCCTGTTCAAGGAAAGGTCATGGCTTGGATTCCCAGTCAAGGCACATACCCAGGTGTCAGGTTCAATCCTCAGTTGGGGTATGTATGGGAGGCAACAGATTAATGCTTCTCCCTCACATCTTTCTCTCCCTCTCCCTTCCTCTCCAAAATCAATAAAAGCATATTCTCAGGTAAGGATTTTTTAAAAATATGTATTCCCAGGGAAGAATAGTTCATTGGTTCAGTGAAGTGCCCATCCCTGAGACAAAGAACTAGGATCTGTAAGAGCATGGACGCTGCCACTGAACTACATTGTGGAAGTGGAGAAAGAACATATCCCATGAAAGGGGGAGGACAAAACAATAGATGTCAATTATATTAGAATTTTCATTGTTTTCAAATGAGAATACCAATATTACATAGAAATATATTCATTTGCCCCATTTATCCAACAAAATCAATGTTAGAACTGGTATAGAACTTCAATCTGAAAAAAAAATTATGTTGATCAAAAGAGATACTTAAAGGGTATAGCATACATATGTTCAAGTTGTGTGTGTGTGTTTACTGTGTCATGAGGATATTATAATAATGCTGGGTTTCATATAGCAATAAAATGAACAAGAGGGTATAATTTTTTAGCACTACCTATAACAATAACAAGCTAATGATAACAATAATTAACCAAACTCCCTATTATGTCCAATGAACATCAATGGCTGTCCTGTGAAATAAATATTATACCCATTTCACAGATGAGGAATTTGAGACTCATAGCTGATAAGTAACTAGCTCTTGGCCATACACGTAGAAGAGGAGCCAGAATTAAAGCACAGGTCTGTCCAACTCCAGGCCTCCAACTGTTAAACCTCACCAATTTGCCATTAACAGCTACCCTTTTAACACTTCCATTAAACTCTGTTTTTACTGTGAGCCCATGTTTATACAGGAACTCATGACCGCAACAGTTGCACACAATTGCTGCTGAATGCACATAGATATGTTAATTAGGTAAAGTCCCTTACTATAAGCTTAAAGTTATTAACATTAACAAATTATTGAAGGCAATTTATGACATTATCTTATTATTAAACTCTTATCTTCCTATTTTCTCTTTTCATATTCCCTTCCTTCCTGTCTTCCCTTCCTATTCCGTCTTCCTTTTCCCTCCATCTTTCTTTTCTTTTTCTCTTTCATTTCTTCACTAAGACACAAGATATGGGCAAGAACATGAGGGCTAAAAGGAGAGGCATGCAGGTGGCAGAGAGAAGGGAAGGCTGGTGTTGGCCATTGATTACGTTGAGCAAATGAGTAAAGATATTGAGAAAAATGACCAGATTTCCCACTATTGGAGAAAATACTAACATGAAAAGGGAGAATGCTAGAAAGAACCCTGTGGTATTGGACCAGAAATATAGGTATCATATGAACTCACTTAAAAAATATAAACAGTAGCTCTGGCCGGTTTGCCTCAGCAGTTAGAGCATTGGCTCTCGGACCAAAGGGTCGAGAGTTTGATTCGATTTCTGGTCAATGGCACACACCTGGGTTGCAGGTTTGATCTCCGGCCCTGATTGGGGTTGTGCAAGAGGCAACACATTGATGTATCTCTTTCACATTGCTGTTTCTCTCTCACACCACCTCCCTCCCTTCCACTATCTAAAAATCAATGGAAAAAATATCCTCAGGTAAGGATTTGCAAATAAATAAATAAATAAATAAAATTTAAAAAATAACAAATAAATATATAATAACAAATAAATATATAAATTTCCTAATTCTGTCCTCTGACAGGATCTACACATAGTGATACCCCATTAGCTTTCAGCACACTGAATATGTGGATTCTGCTTTCTTTTTTTTAAATCCTCACCTAAGGATACTCTTCCATTTATCTTCAGATAGAGGGGAGCGGGGAGGGAGAGAAACATCGATGTGAGAGACACATCAATTGGTTGCCTCCTACATGACCCCGACCAGGGCTGGGACCAAACTGCAACCAAGGTACGTGTCCCTGACTGGAATCCAATCCAAGACTCTTTGTTCCTGAGGCTGATGCTCTAACCCATGAGCCAAACTGGCCAGGGCAGATTCTGCTTTCTAATACCATGTTCTACTAAAAGGAACCAATATGATACCATAATGTGGAAACATGTCATTATACATTTGTTCCAGAATGTACAGCACCAAGAGTGAACCATAATGTAAACTAAGAATTTGGGTGATCATGATGTGTTCGTGCAGGTTCATCAATTTCAATAAAAGTACCACTGTTGTGGGGGGCACTGATAATGGGTGAAGCTATACATGTGTGGGGTCAGAGTACACATGGGAATCTCTATAACTTTCTCTCAGTTTTGCAGTGAAGCTTAAACTGCTCTAAAGAAAAATAAAGTCGGATATATTTTTTAAAGTATTTATTATGGGGAAGAAAAGGAACCAAGACTCTGGAAGTATCAAACTTTAGGGCTGGAGCAGGAAAACTATAAGATGAACCTAGAACATTTTGTGACAAAAATAAGGAAATGCTCAAAGACTAATAAGAATATGTTAAAACAACACAGAGAGATCATATGGGCTCTCATTGGCTCAAATGGGGGCACTTGAACATAAAAATAAATATTTACAGTAACAGATTATAATCTATGGAATAAAAGAGGACTCCCTAGTGCTATAAATAAATAAGTGGGGAGAAAAAAAAAAGCTCTTCCTTCCTCTGCAGTATAATGTCAACAAATAAACATAAAAGGAATGATATAGAAATCATTTGCCAACATAATAGTGGTTCAGACTGCAGTTGTCAATGGAGGCTAAAACTGGCAATATTCTATAGGGCACAGGATTTGGGCATATTGTGGAAATATTTTCCAACAGTTACAAAAGAAAAATATAACTTTATAGTGAAGACGTCAACATCATAGATGATCAGATGTAACATCATCAGTGATGGAACAGACTAATGTGAGAAAGGCAAAGTTTACCAAGAATGCATGCCTGAGTCTGGGCATGAGGAAACATCAGATGGACTCAGGTGGAGGGTCATCCTACAGAATTCTGTATTATTGTACACTGTGAAGGACATGACAGAGAATAAACAAAGAACTATTCCAGATGGGAGGAGATGAAAGAGATATGACAACAAAATGCAAGGTATGTTCCTGGATGAGATCCTGCACCTGAAAATTAAAAAAGTTTTTTTTGGCCCAGCCGATGTGGCTTAGTGGATTGACCATTGTCCCATGGACTGAGAAGTCCCCGTTCAATTCCCGGTCAGGGTACATGCCCAGATTTCAGGCTGGATCCCTAATATGGAACATGCAAGAGGCAGCCAATTGATGTTTCTCTCTCACATCGATGTTTTTCTCTCTCTCTCTCCCTTCCTCTCTCTAAAAAAAAATCAATAAAAAAAAGATTTTGGGGGGACAATTAGAAAAACTGAAATTTGAATAGGGTTGTTTTTTTTAAAATATTTTATTTTATTTCGTCCATGCCCCTAGCGGGAACCGAACCCTGGACTCTCTGGTCCACAGGCCGATGCTCCAACCCCTGAGCCAAACTGACCATGGCTAAATAGGGTTTTTTAATGGTAGTGTACTAATGTTGATTGCCTGACTTCTTGGGAGTCCTTGATGGTTAAGAAAAAGGTGAGAGAGAGAGAGAAAGTTAAAAGTTGGTAAATTTTGCCTGGCCGGTGTGGTTTGGTTGAGCATCAACCCATACACCAAGAGGTCTCCAATTCAATTCCCGGTCAGGGCAGGTTGTGGGCCAAATCCCCAGTGAGGGGCATGCAGGAGGCGGTCAACGGATATTCTCTCTCATAGATGTTTCTACCTCTTTCTCCCTCTCCCTTACTCTCTTCTCTCTCTAATATCAATAAAGAAAAAAAAATTTTTTTTAAGTTGGTAAATGTGGGTGAAGGTAATATGGAAGTTTTTTGTGCTGTACTTGCAGCTTTTCTGTGAGCTTCAAATTATGCTAAAATTGTTTTTTAAATTAAAATTGTTAAGGACTGATAGAACTCCAAAGCAATAGTTCTCAAATTTGGTTTGGAGGATCAGTATAAACACCTTTGACAAGCAGATAAAATTTATGGACTTTTTTCCCCAGAAAAATTTCACAAACACAAAATGTTACATACAATTTCAGAGGAGTCCATGGATGCCTTCAGTCCATGCACAAACCCCGTGTTTTTTTGTTTGTTTGTTTTTTTTAAAAAACCCTCTCAGTTCAAGTATTGATTAAAAACAAAACAAAAACAATGATTTTCACTTCCCTTTTGAAGAATAGAACAGTTGAAAATACTAAATAAAATATAAAAAGCCTATTCTTAAAAGCATAGAAGAATTGACAAAAATAGTAAAGCAACTGATTGACCAAAATCTAAGGACATGGAACTCGAAAGTTACTTTTACTCTGCTGATACAGGCAAACTTGAACTTGTGTTCTGACAGCTTCCAGGGGCAAGAAGAATAGTTATAAAAGCCCGGAGCCTGCCCAAGGTGAGGCATTTGTTAAGAAACCTCCATCAGGATCCTCCCCACAAAGGCCTACAGGACTCAGAGGGATGATGCGCAAAAAGTAAATCTGAGGCCTCTCCAAAACTTCTAGGAAAAGTTGTCCTAGCTGAAACTTACTGAAAAATTGTACCCATAGACCAGCCCTGGCATGGATTACACTCACACCTCAGGTCACTCCAGTAACCAAGTAATCTCAAACAGTGAATTTAGTTAAAAATTATCTTGGACTACTAGGACTCCTAAGCACCTGGTAGAAGCAAGCACAAATTCTCTGCTGTAACATCAAGCAAGATCAGTAAGCCCTGGGCAAACATAGATGAACCCCTCGAGGAAGAAAAACAGTAATCAGGTGCCTACCAGGGACCAGAGCCCATTAGAGTCAGCAGTTAGCACCATGCCTGGGGTTGCAAATGGGTTCACAAAGAGACATAATCTGACATTCCCTCATTCTGCCAACCCAAAGAAAACACTGCAAACATATGCCCATATGTTTCATTTTCAAAGGTCTCCCCTTCAAAGAGTGATTTATGAGTTGTAAAGGGTTGTAGGCAAGTTGGGAAATACTAGGCTTCTCTCTCTACTATAGGATTTCTGGGTGCCCTTATTCTATAAAAATGTGTTGAGGATCTTTAAGAGGGGAATATGGTCACCAGTGGTCTCTGCATGTCCTTGGCCACTGAACCTTTCTCTAAAAGGCCATCTCATATAGATGAATTAACCAAGCATGCACTCCACAAAGTGCTGAACCATGCAAACCCCATGGATCCCGAGGGTAAATGAACCAACAGGTCTACCCTTGAAAGTAGAAAAGCATCTAAATTGGCCATGGAACTTCTAGGTCCGGAGAATCCTATAGCTTACAAATGTCTTGAACTATATTGGATTTTCCAGGCAAAGTCAAGTCACAACAGGCTGACTGGCAATGAACCCCATCTCTGAGAGTGGAAGTCCGGCGGACCCATGTAAGCTCATGGGCTCAGCTTCAGAATGTCATGGGAGCTTCGTGGCCATCGAGATCTTGCTTCCAAACATATCCTCTATTTGGCTCAAATAAATTTGTGTAAAAATTCAGAAAAATATGGTCTTTGACCATGTAATTAAGTTAAAGATCTTGTGATGAGATCATCCTTCATTAGCTAGATGGACCATATATCCAGTGACAGATGTCCTTGTAAGAAAGAGACAAAGGGAGATTTGAGACACAGAGGAGAAGGCCATGTGCAGATGGAGGCAGAGATCAGAGTGATGCAGCCACAGGTAAAGAACGGTGGCAGCCACCAAAAACAGAAAAGCAAAGGATTCTCCCTAGGGCTTCTGTAGGAAATAGGCCCTGCCTGCACCTTGACTTCAGACTTTTTACTCCCAGAACTGTGAAAGAATAAACTCTGTTGTTTATAGCCACCCAGTTGTGGTCATTTGTCACAGCAGCCACAGGAAATTTGTGTTCACCACCAATTTAGACTTCAACATTGACTCACTGGCTCCAGAGGCTGTGGATAAATCTCCGTTTCAACCCCCTCTGACACACCTGTCTCTCTCACTGATGAGTCTCTTGATATATAAATTTTCATCTGATATTTTGGTTTCTAACTTGAAATTGTGTAGTTGCCCTAAAGTGAAGGTCTTCCTTACAGGTTTTATCTTAGATGCATGGAGCCCAAAGGAACCTTTAGGGATTATCTGGCACCTCTCACTCTTGTACTGATGAAAACCATTAAGCTCTGAAGTTGAATTTCTTTTGTTATCCTCTTGTATGTTTTCATTACTATCAGATATTTACTGAGAGCTTATTCTGTTGAATATGCTGTCTTACACCTGGGAGATAAACAGGTCCAGCAAGTGAAAGACCTGGTTCCTGTTGCCAAAGAAAATTAGCATTGAATTAGGGACTACTGCCTAATTTTACTGAGAAAGAATCTTTTTTACCATCTCACTTGGAGAACCCATATAATGATTGCCATTACGAGTGCTCAGATGGAACTTTGAAGTCTAACTATAATTTCTGGATTTCTTAGGTTTACATTTTCTTCTGGACAATAAGTTAAGCCTATGTTACTTTTTGGGGCCCGTGGGTGCTGTGTTTCTACTGCTGCCCCCTTTAATCCACTCACCACCCGGCTCTGAGTCCAGACTCTGACACTTTAGTTCATAGTTACATCAACACAATTTGACATTGATCCTAATAATATTTTAATTTAAATTTTTGAGCAGTTATTCAAAAGCTCTAAAGTAACACAGCTAACATTGTCCAAGCACTAGCTGAGTGTCAGGCGCTGTTCGAAGAACTTGATGCATATTAACTCATTCAACTCTCAGCACTCGATGAGTAGGAGCTGAAGAGGAAAACACTCAAGTTCAGTGAGTTACCCAGTTTCCACACCTCAGAAGTAACTGCACTCAGTGTCTGGCTCCAGGCTGTGCTAGGAACACTTCTCAGGTCACAAGAGAAACTTTAAGTTTCCATCAGAGGTGCACTGCTCCCTGTGTTTCTGAGTTTGATGGGTGTTTAACCTCACCTACCCCTCTTGATGCTCCCCATGTCCCATTTCTTTGGGGGTAGGGGTAAGGCTCACAACTGTGTCCCTACTCTGCACAGTGCCTCACCTCCTTGTTAGTAAGACCATGGGGACCACTCCCTTAACCTGTATAACTTCCAGGTAGTCACTGAGAGACTGAATAGGCAAATGGACAAAGGCCAGACCATATATGACAACAGCACTCTGACCCACAGTGTGCTGCAACCAGCCCAGAAAGCCAGACCACAACCTCTGCAGCAATTGGCCCAGAATGGTCAGCACTTAATAACTGTCAGCTTCTTTAATTTTTGACTGTGCTTCCAATTTAGGACCAACCAGAAAAAGACAAATGTGCTCCTCCTAACCAATTACTAGGATGCCCCTCTTCTAGTTAGCTGCTTCAGCTTCCCCAGGCCAACAGCCACCAATCAGCACATTTGAAGCCGTCCCTTTTTCCACTACGAAGCTTTCCCCACTCCTTTGCCCACCTTTGAGTCTCTGCCAAACAGGAGAAAGGGCTAACTCCTTTTATTTAGCAAGCTCTGAGTAAACAGACTTTGCTGTTCTCATTTGGGTGGTCTTTTTAGTTGTCACTGGTCCTCATATCTTTCTGTAGTGCCCTGCCCACCCTGCCCTTCAGATAACCTTCAACCATTCTCTGAGCCTATCCCCACCTCATCTTCAAATCTGTCCCATTTGACAGGAATGACCCTGCCCAACAAGCATCAGCTTTTTCCTGCAGTGACTCATCAATTTCCTCATCAGGCCACTGTGTTCCACCGCAGGTGAGATCTCCAATCACTGTGGTGACACCCACAGAGCCTCATTTTAGCCCCAGCACCGGGGAGCAGTTGCCATAGGGATAGATGCAGCAGGCGGGCGAGAAAAGTGGCTCACTGCAGCCAGCCCACGTCAGGGAGAGGCCGGGCCTGCTGCTGGTCCTTGCTGCTCAACGCCCACCCCCACGTCCTCCTCCTTCCCCTCTCACCTCCTCCCAGCTCCACCCTCACCCCCCAGAGCAAAAAAGGGCTGGGGATTGTCCACGTCGGTCTGTCCCGGATCCTTGTCTTAGCACATCCCCCACGTAGCCTGCTACTGGTTGTCGTCACTTGGTTGTGCAGCTCAGACTCTGTTGCTTAGCAACGAAATAACAAACAACGTAAATCGAGTCTCTGTTGAATCGGCGTGAATGCCTTGTTAACGTCTTCTCAATCTCAGTGCCGCAGCGCCAAGGTTGGGGTGGGGGTGGTCTAAATCTTTTAGGATTAACACATACTGTAAAAGTGTACAAAGCCTAAACGCACATCTTGATAAATTGTAACACCCAGGAACGCACAGAATTCCCTCCGGCACTTCCCATTCAATACCCAATCCCACGGATATTAACGTGACTTCCATAATCATCAATTTGTTCTGCTTTTGAACTTCGTCTGAATGGAATCAAACAGTAAGGACCTTTGGCGTCTGACTTATTTCAATCATCGCTACAACCTTTGGATCCCCTCATTGTTGCCTCCTGCTACACATGCAGCACGCCTCCACCAACTTTTTGTTTTTCCCTGTAACATATTTATAGGTACTGGGGATTATAAGGTAGACATCTTTGGAGTGCCGTTTATTCTGTCACAATGTATTTTGTATATTGTTAAATAATAAACAAATTATTTTGGCAGTAAAAGATGTGATAAGACGGTCTAGATGGACAGCCTCTTGTTCACCCCTGAAACTCTTGCAGGCATCTGACACCAGCCCTTGAAAGCGTCCCTGCCACTTTGGCTGGAGGGCAGCAGAGGGAGCAACTTGTGACATGGTGGCCCAAGGAAGCCCCAAAGGCCAGCCGCCCGGGTGAATGGCTCCCGAATGGGCAGGGGGCAAGATATCCCCTATTTGCCTGCCTCTACGATTCCTGCAGCTGGCACGATTTTTAGAGGCAAAACTAGGACAACCATGGGGCACCTGGGATGTGGTTTCTATTCGAGTAGATGGATTGCAAGCACTCGGTGTTGGTGTTGAACCCGTCTCCGAGCATCTTATGCACGCAGCATCTAGAACTGCTGCCTCCCTTCGAACCCCCTCCGCTTCTTGGCGCACACCCAGCCTGCCCTGCCCACGTTGCCCACCTCCCGGGGCGCGGGTCCCTGGAGATCCCGCCGCTCCCTCTTGCCACACTAGCCCTTGGCCGCCTCGTTTCTGCCTTTTCCGCGCCCCTCTGAACCCCTGCTGCTCCGACACTCTCATTTGCTTTTTTCCCTAACAATAATATTTCGGGTTTTCAAGCCTCCCACCCCTTGCGGTCCCTTTGATTCTGAGCCAGGTCTCACTCGGAGAATCGGACAGATTTCGCTGACTCGGCACCCGGTGTTAGTGCTCCGGATTTCTTTCCCCATCTCCCCCCCTCAGTCTCGGGGGGGCCCTTTGGGGCATCATGCCCATCCAAGGACACCTCCCGTCTTGGCCCTCGGCAGCTCCCACTACCCCCCCCCCCCCCCCCAAGCCTGAGGTCGGCAGCGGCTCCAGAGGGACGGGATCCAGGTGCGGGGTGCCCAGTGGTGGAGCAGGCTGAGGGCCACCACCCTTGGCCTCTGAAACGACCTCTCTGGTCTGGAGGTTCGGTTTTGGTATGTTTCAGAATCTTCGGAAGTTTCTGGGGTGCGTCAGACCCCAACAGCTCCGTTAGTGTCAGGTGCCACCCTATCCCGGGACCGCAGCCCCTGGGAGCTGAGCAGTTGTGCAGGCCCACCCCACGTCTCGCAGGGTCGCCTGGGACCTGTCCTGGCCGCAGGTGCGCATCTCCTTGCGGGCAGCCTTCCCTTGCAGTGGGCAAGAGGCTCTTCACCACCTCCTGCAACTCTGAAAACTCCACCCTACCCTGCTGGAAAGGGGAAGAAGAAGGGGAAACTGAAGCTTGCAGAAAGGGCGGCAGGCCGAGTGCCGGAAGCGTTTTCCAAGGCGATTTACTTGCGCTTAGAACAGAAATGACATACAATATACGGACCTCTGGATACCCTTTGACAGTGCTCAAAAGATTTATTTTTGACCTCTTTTTGGAGCTATAACTTACATATCATAGCATTCAATTCAGTGGTTTAGCATATTCACAGGGGTGTGCAATCATTACCACAAAGAAATTTGAGAACGTTTGTCTCTCTGTAAATATAAACCTGTACCCATTAGCAGTCACTGCTCATTTCCTCCTCACCCACTAGCCCCTAAATGAAATCATATAATATGACATTTTATGGCTGCCTTCTTTTGCTCAGCATAACGTTTTCACAGTTCATCTATGTTGTAGCATGTATCAATAATTCATTCTCTCTTTTTTTTAACCACCAATAATAGCATTCTATTGTTTGAAAATAGCATTTTATTTCTCCATTTATTAGTTGATGGACACTTGGGTTGTATCCACTTTTTGGCTATTTTGAATAATGCAGCTATGAACATTCATGTATAAATATTTGTGTGGGCATATGTTTTCAGTTTTCTTGGCTATATACCTAGGAGTGGAATTGCTGAGTTATATAGCAACTTGAAGCCGAACATTTCAAGGAACCATCAAAGACCTAATTTTAGATCTTTTGGAAAGAGGGGGCTGGGGCCAGTTCAAAAAGCAATTGAATGGATCTGCAACCCAGGTGTTGATGAAGAACCTTCTACACAGAAAGCCTACTATATGGAGACTTAAAAGAGACATTGCTCACTATATTGAGAGGAATAGATAGGGCTCAGGGAGGACTGAATCCAGTGAGGACATCCTCCTCCACGTGAGAAGGAGACAGACATCCCAGCTCCCATCTATAACCCATTCCAGAGGCTTTGCACAGAGAGCAGAAGTCCACAGAAACACCCAGTGGTGGTTGTTTGGAGTGGAGGCT